ATCTGCAAGTCCGGATAGGTTGCGTTGCCTTTGCCATAGCTGTACCGTAGTGGGGATGCCATAGCTTTGCCGTAGTGGGGGGCGTGCACACGTTTCTTTGTCAGTTGTTCGATAGCCCTGACATCGGTCAGTATGAATGTAAACAGCCATTCCTACAACTTGAAGTTTAAGCGAGCTGCGATCGCGTTTGCCGAAGACAATGGCAATCACAGTGCTGTTGCAGAATTTCGCGTGGACTGAGGCGGCATCATCAGGTGGAGGAAACAGCGAGACCAGATTCTCAAGGGCGCCGCGACTCGCAATAAATTGACGAGTTTGCGCTAGGGCAGACACCCTCCTGAATTCGAAGAGAAAGTCTGTGAGTTTGTTCGCAGCGAAAGAATTGGGGGTTTCGCTGTCACTGCTGGTGTCATCCAGACAAAGGTGATAGATATCTTGAGGACAATGGAGATTTTTCGCGCAGTTTTCTGTGCTAGCCATGGCTGGGTGAAGCCCCGGATGTGAACACCGAGCTGCTCAAGAGCAACTGCGACTTGGTTATGGTTCCAGGAGGCATAAAAGGAGTGCTGCAACCCCTGGGTGTCTCAATTGAGGGGGTGCTGACACCCCCTGTAAAGTTGTTGACACCCCCTGTAAAGTTGTTTGTTGTTTGTAAAGTTGATGCGGCCTTGGGGCGCACGTGTCTCGCCCCAAGGCCGCATTTCGGGTGACCCGCCGGGCGATAGATGGCGTTGTGTTCGCGTTGAGTACCACTGTTGGTAGAGTGATAGCACCGGCGGTGACCCCTAGCGGAAAGCAGGCCTTGGTGGCGGCCGAGAGTCGAGCGAGTCTTGTGCGCGTGGCGGTTGCCGCGAACGGTTGTCTCTAGCGTGGGTCCTCGGCGCGGGGCCTGCGCGAAGGGGGCCCACGTGGTACGTCAAGCGTTGGCGACGCTGCCTTGGGTATGTTATTGTGTGTTGGGTGTGTTACTGTGTTATGTTGTTTGTATGGTAGCGTGTTAATCACAATTTATGTATCGATTCGGCTGATGATATCGTCCTTCTAAAATGAGTTAAATAAATGTATGTTGTTTAGTTTCTACCGACCGCATCGGCTGTGTCCGTTCACTCCAAGAGCATGGGGAGGTGCTTGCCTCGTCGAGACCCCACACAATGAACAAGTGGTTCAAAGCCCACCATCAACAGGAGTATGAAGCTCTGATCCGGAACTGCAACCAAAATGAAAATGCCGACGAAAGTTGCAACAAGTGTCACGGTCAGCCGTAGCAACGTAGATTTTGGACGTGTGGAAGCGTATCAAAGTTGACGTTGTCGCGAAGTCGTTCAAGAAGTGTTTCATAACGAACAACTTGGATGGCACCGAAGACGACCTGCTGTGGGACACCCAGAGTGACAGCTTGAATGGTGCGACAGACTCGAGTGATGCGACGGACTCGAGCGTCAGTGATAGTGACGGACCCGATACACGAGTGGTGGGAGCACTGTGTGCACCTATTTTTCTTGTTATTGTTTTTGAATTGAAATGTGATTTCTTATGTCAGCCTCGCTGATATGCTCTCGCAAAAGGGGATCGAGCTGTGCAATAATTTTTTTATTTATCCACCCCTTTTCCCTAACTTTGAATATCACGATTGTCAAAGAACGGGGGGGCTTAGAATTGAGTAAATATGGATATACAGTCGAACCCGGCGACGACAGCGAAATTGAAAGGGCACGGAAAAAATTTTCCTTAAGCAAAAATTTCGTTGTCTGGAAATACAAAAAATATAGCCGATCTGAACTAACAAAACAAAAGAACGTTAATTCTCAAAATTCAAAAAGTGTCCGCTGCTTTTTAATCTATCCCAGCAGCGTCAAGACACGATTCTCACCCACGCATAGTGACGCCATGGTAAAAAGCACGCTGAAAAAGTGACTACAACAGCTTTCATGAACGAACCAAACAGATGGCAGTAGGGTATCGTGGAGTGGTGACTTTTGCCTTATTTTATGCCATTCTTATCATTCATCGATTGCGGCTATCTGATTTTGTTGATAATATGGGCGAACAGCCGCTTTGATTGGTTGAGACACTGGCCAAGCGCCAACAAAATGATAAGCATTGGAATCGGAAAAGGCATCGTTCCGCAGATGCATCCAGCAGCTGTGCGAAGGAAACCATGAACTAAGCTACTGAGCTTCATCTTCGGATCGTCTGCGTCTATACGGTAAACCCAATGTTCAAAATTTTCATGCATTTTCAGAATCTGAAAATACGTCGACAAAAGCACGCGTTGGCACCACCAGAAACTACGGGAGAGTATTTTGGTAGCGTGTTGAAAAAGTCTTGTGGTACACGTTGCTCTTCCGGGCTGTGCTCATTCTGCCCTTGTGCGAAGGGTGTCATGGTTGTCTGGGTGACGGAGACGCACGAACCCATGGCAAGCCACGCAGCGCCTGTGGCGGCTATGCCATGTGGCTGGCTCCTTATGTCGGCGGCAGTGTAAGAAGACGAAAACGCGATGAAGGCAGGAGACACTAGAGTGGACGCACATCAAAATTATCTTTTTCCAAGCTAGCGTGCGGTATCGTGTTCTGCCGTGTTCATTTACGGACGGACTTCATTTTGAGTGGTGGTCAGGTACAGTACGTTTTATTTATTTGCTGACATGAATATTCCTTGTGACGCTGCATTTGAGATGTCTGTCAAGAATTAAGGGCAAGTACTGCAACTAGACAGCGTCAGTGTGGGTCTTGTTCCAAGTAGTATTGTTTTATGAAGATCGACCCACGCACTTTTGTGTAAAACATATAAGGGCCTCTTTTGCCAAATTAAGGTTCTTATGACGTATCTTTGCATCATCTGTGTGGCCACTAATGTAGATGGTCGTGCAATCTCAACTGTAGGACCCACATTGTAGAAATGATTACGGGAAATGGGTGCGCGGCCCCACGCTACGCACTTTACTTTACGCCCCTGAGCTGCATGCTTCAGTAGCTACATTTTGTTTCAGATATATAGTGCATTGCACAGTAATGACAAAACTTGCAAGTTTGCACCTTAACAATGACAAGATTTATCTGTTATAAAAAATTCAATGTACAGTTAGTCATTTTGGCTTCCGCCAACTCCTGCTCCATGCTGCGTATCAGCATAGGGCTGGTCGAACACTCTACAAAGCAGTGAGCAGGCCTGCATACCTTCTCTGCCCATGTTTTGTTGCTGCCTCGACATACAAATTGTTTTTCCTGCAAATTAATTGCGTTTAGCTGCTACATCCGAGTTAATTTCTATTCTCAAACAACAAATATACAAATAAATACTAATGGTGTATTGTTATTTTACTACATTGCACTGGACACAGCAACAGATGGAGGCCAGGTCTCGTCGCGGCTCATCATATTGTTCCTTCGACTCTACATAACTAATCCAGGTGTTTTCCTGCTTTTCTAGACATCGGAGGTGCTTTCTAAGAATGTCCTCCTCAAAAACTGTAGGCACGGTTCGCTCCATATGAACTCAGGACGCAGCGCAACTCAAAATTATTTTAGTTGCAACAGCGTTGCGCCGTCCTGATGCGTTCGCCTAGCAAGGCGCGCACTGCGCCACCCGCATTTTCTGTCACGTGGCTTTTCCAACGCGCTGCCGAAATAGGCTGTGTTCCAATACTCATCATAGATGGCTAAATAGACAGCTAAATGGACGGCGGCCATCTTAAGTTCCATTCGCATTCTCACGTAGCCGGCAAAATAGACAGTTCCGAGAAGACCATATCGTAGACAAATATCATGCAAACTACTTTGCTGTCTATACAAGATGGCGGCTCAGCAAATCGCCCAGATAGATGAAATCTCGCCGGAATGGTTGCCTGCACACAGACACTTTCCCAGACGCTCAATGAGAATAACATTTATTTGTTTTTGATTTCAACACCAAATAAGCCAGAAAGTATAACTGTTACGTTTGTTTATTTTAGCTTTTTCTTCTCAACGCGAGGTGGCGCGTCGTCGCATAAAAGCCGTACAGAAGTGTTCTAATTCTCGGACAGCATGGGCTTGGTGCTGTCTTCTAAGCAGTCTGCGTAGAGTGTCTACGTGCTGTCTAAGAATTAGAACACAGCCATACTCTCCCAGAAACTACAGCTGTTCAGCAAGCATGGGCACCGCCATTGCTCGATAGCAATGACAATGAGACTGCTCTGCTTTTGCCAGTGACAAAAGCAGGGTAGTCTCATTGCCATCGCTATCAAGCAAAGGCTGCGCCCATGATTGCTGAACAGCGGTGGTTTTTGGTAGTGCTAAAGTGTGTTTCAGACTTTGTCAACGTATTTTCAGGTTCTGAAAATGCATCAAAATGTTAAAGACTAGGTTTACTGTATAGAAATAATTATCTGAGAAGAAAAAGTGTTTGTTGTGGCGACAATATTTATGCATTGACTCCTATGAACTGCTGACGGGGAACCGTGAATTTTTCCTTGTAGCGGCTTTCGTTGTAGCGGGGTTCTACTGTAGTCTTGAAAAAAAAAATCGTATTCAATTTGGTTATTGTGAGGAGTGCGAGATTTATGCGAGCGCAAGGATTATATGAATAAACACGGTATTACAAATGGCTTGTCCATCCTCATCATGATCAGCCACAACTTCAACTAAGTGTGCAGCTATGTAGGTGCGCATATTGCCTTACAGGCATGCCGCTGTGTCAGCTGCCGCTGTGTCAGGTGCCCTAGGAGAGTTTACAGCAGTCAATGTCACATGTGCATATGTTCCTTCCCTCATAGCACTGTTTATAGAGAAGCACAGAACACCATGACAGGCCGATGCAATTGAGAGGGCGATGCAAACACATTGTAACACACTGAAATATTATAACATCATGGTGTTCCTTCCACTCATGAAGGAACTCCTGAAAGCGTTCTCTAAAGTTCTCCTCATTCTTTTATGCTGAGGTTTGCTTTGGTGCGCTCTGGTTGAATACAGATTGAAGAAATAGACTCAACAGTGGTGCACTTTTCGTTCTTGCAGGGGGACAAGCGTATTGATTTTCTTCTCCAATTGAAGCTTCAAGCAGGCATCAAAAACGTGTTCCAGTCACTCGATGTCAGGATTCCATTTTTTAACAGGTAACTTTGTACACAGAAAAACAAAACTAGTCAAGTTATTTGGAAGTTTAGTAAAACAGGAGCTGCACCCAAACGCTGTGCTAGTCAATTTGAATCGCCATAGATGAGCAGGGAGAGGTTAGTTGGCACTGTTATGCAGTATTTTGACCCTGACTACAGAATTAGGCAGGAGAACAAATTTTTACGTGCATATTGGCGTGCTCCTAAGCTATGCTGTGCATGGGCTGCAAACAGCCTGTACTCGCCTTCTGACCTACCAAAAGAACCAACAGCATTTGCATGATCGGCAACACTTGGAAGTGCACTTTTCACTGGTCTTTTTGGTTCTGCTGTGGTCTCCTACCCGTCGCATTGGCCTGTAGGAAAACATTTACATCATCTCCCATTAAAGACGAGTGCTACCATTTATTCATAGTTGCTATCACTAGTTTCATCTGTAGCTTTTTTTCATCATGTTGAGATCCTGCACAGGGAAAAAAAGGCATAGCTACTGTTGCAGTGCTTACAGACAGCGGATCCCCATTTCTGGTGAACGTTCTTCCTAAAAATAAGGTGCATCACTATGTCGAAAATCGGCCCTACTATTGCAGAATCTGCTTGCACACGGCTTTATATATGGATTTGCACCACGGTTCACAGAAGTGTTTGAGGGAAAGTCAGAACTGAATACTAACGAGCACCAAAACATCAGAAATGACCCTCACTGTGACAGCACCTGAACAACAGAGCTATGCTAGAGTCAGGCTACGCTAACACTGTAGCTGACCTTATGTGATGTTGATAGCGAGCAGTTAGCTGTCGTTTGGCATTTTGTTATCATATGCAACATTTTGGTTTCACATTCTGGCTTCATGTTCAATGCGATGCGCTGCCTAAGCTCTATATCTGTACATTCTACCCCACGAAAATTCTTGCCAATTTTTTCAACTGTGCCGGAAAAAAAAAAGAGAAACACCTTTTTTTTTAATTTTCCTGTTTTTTTTTCCACACTTTGCATTTCTATGCAGGAGGAAGCATTTCAGGAGCTAAATTGATACCTTCGTAACTTGCGCATATTGACGAGTTCGCTGAAACAGAAATACGATCAAATCTTGTTATAGCAAACCTCAGGCTAACGATTTTTTTAGCTTAATGACTTCCTTGGTAATTTCCCTCCAAATGTACATTTGTGTAATGTAAAAGTATTTCACTACCACCACTATCGGGATACCGAACGTTTCAAAATAATGCGTAGAGTTTTATCCCCTTTACGAAACACTTCAAAATAATGAATAGCGATTTTAAAAAGTTACTTGCACCAGTCAAAATAATGACCAGCTGCATACCTTCCACTATAATAATTACTGAAATGCCCGCATGTTTCTCTATCTGCCCGCCCAATTCAAATGTCACCATCATCACGTGGTACTTGTTTTTTTTGCATCAGGCGAAGTACCATTGCCTTTGTTTTCGTCGGGCAGCTTTACCTGCACGCTTGTTACACGTCTGTTTTTAGTCCTCCTGGTTGGTAGTTCAACGATTCAGATGAGCTGTGGAAGCCACATTACAGCGATAATTGTGATGCGTGTGACCTATGGGATGAAGTTGGCCACGATTACCCATGCATGCTTTATTAACGCCCGAACACTACCCACAGTGCGGCAACGAAGCATGCACATGAGCTTAGCTGACCATTGACAACATCCATACCATTTGTCGTGATAAGGAAGTGGTAACGAGAGCAAAGAGGACGCTGAAACAGCGTGCACGAATCAACATGAAGAATCTGTATTTAATGCTAATGCTTTGCAGTGCATTAGAAAGATTCGCACACTTAAAAGTTTGTCTTTCAGCAGTAAAGCTGCCCACATCAAGATAGATCGCATTGTTCCTTAAATAAAGATGCACTGATTCCGCAATATTCTGTGTTTTTTTTTTTTTGCACTTGCTTGAACATGACATAATTGCATATGTATACACAGCGCATATAGGCGACTCACGATTTTCACGCACATTTTTATTACTTTCACTACAACAAATTTTCAACATAATTTTCATATAACTAACATAAATTTTTAGCAGCATCATGACATTCGTTGCATCACAATTTCACTATACACTCTGGCGCAAACAGTGTAGAACTCGGCGCTGCCTTTGGTGTGCTCTTGTTGGGGTGCTCTGATGGACTAGAAAGGGTCGTCAGTTATTGTAGCCTGTTGCTATCAAACTCAGAAAACAACTACATGTATTCTACAACAGAAAAAGAGTGCTTTGCCATCTTATGGACTACATCAAAGTTTGATCCCTACCTTGACTACAGGTCCTCTGAAGTTGTATCTACCACACATTGTGTTGGCTAGCTAACTTGAAAGACCTTTCGGGTTGCCTGACGCGGTGGAGCCTGAGACTTCAAAAATTCTTCCTTACTGTGGTTTACTAGTTCGAAAAAAAAAGACTCGATGCCAACTGCATGTCTCGTGCCTCCGTCAAATCACTGCCACAAGACGACCTAGATGATGACTGCTTCTTGGGAACCATAAGTGCCGACGACTTCGCTGAGCGATAGCAAGCTGAGCCGTAAGCACAGAGCAAGAATTTTTGAGGAGGCGAAACTGCACTTGCTCGGGCACCCCTAAAAAAGTCACGAAATTGGGCACGGCGTTTACACACTTTCTGTCGTGAAACTCAGCTATCGGAGGAGGAAAAAATGCACACGTCTCTCTCACTACACTCTCGTTCAAGGCCACTCCGCTCCAATTTGTCGTTCGCACTTCACATCTAACTGGTTGTGTTTCTGTGTGACTTCGCTGGCTCCGAATTTCAACGTGATAACATTAAAGAGCTCGTTTAGCAGAAAGTTCAATCTCGCAGTCGTTGGTTGGGAAGGAAAAATCAGCGTTGTTCTGTCCGGGAAATTAACAGATGCGAATGTGTTAGATTGGGTAGGAATCACACTCACACATTATTCATGGCATGCAGCTGTTCGACCACAAACCTACAATACTGCTGGAAGCTGCTACTTTCTGTTACTTCCTCCTCCTTTGCTCCCGAAAGAAATCCTAACCGTTCTGCTTCTCAGCGTGAGGCATTGCTAAATTTGCTAACGAAACACCAGGTCTCCTTCAACGCCAATGCTTCGGCACTTGGACAGACCACAGTTGCGCATCATCACATCGACAATGAAGGTCAGACTGTTGTATACCTTCGATCCTACCAAGTCTCTTTGGTCCAGCTCAAAATCATTGAGAAAAAAGTGACCGATACTCTAAAAAGAAACATCATACGACCATCTGCCAGCTCTTGGTCATCACCCATTGTATTGCTACAAAAAGCATGGATCGGTACGATCTTATGTTGATTACTGTGCGCTCAACAAGATTACCCAAAAGGATGTATATCCAATGCCCCCTATAGTTGATGCTCTTCGCTCATTGCAAGGCTCCCAGTACTTCTCCACTCTTGACCTTTGGTCTGGATATTGGCAAATTCTAATGGACGAAGCAGACAAGGAAAAGACCACCTTTTCTATGCCAGACGGTCTTTACGAGTTTAACGTAATGCCATTCAGCCTATGCAATGCCCCCGCCACATATGAAAGGATGATCGACACTGTTCTTCGTCGCCTCAAATGGAAAACTTGTCTCTGGTATCTTGATGATATCATTATGTTTTCTTCCACTTTTGCTGACCATCTGCAATGCCTAGATAAAGTGCTCACATGCCTTTCCAATGCTGGTCTTCAACTAAACAGCTAGAAAGAAGTGCCATTTCAGTAATACAGCTATAAAATTTTTAGGACATCTCGTTAGCAAAGGTGGCATCCAGCCTAATCCGTAAAACATTTCCGCAGTGCTCAATTTTTCGCACTCCTTTCGTTTCAAAGAACTACACAGCTTCCTTGGACTCGCATCGTACTTGTGCCGCTTCATTCGCAACTTTGCCACCATTGCTGCTCCTCTCCACAAGCTCCTAGTACGGGTTCCTTCTACTGGAATGATCAGTGCGAAGCCTCATTCCAAGAACTGAAGCACGCACTGACGTCCCCACCGGTGCTTTGTTATTCCGATGACAAGGCGCCTATGTTACTACACACTGTCAATAGAGGACAAGGAATCGGCGCTGTATTCCTTCAGCGCGACCATGCATTTCGCGAGAAAGCTGTCGCGTATGCAAGTTGCACTCTGACCTCTGCAGAAAAGGGGTACTCGATAACCGAACAAAAGTGCTGGGCTGCTGTCTGGTCCATTAAAAAAATTCATCGGTATCTTCGTTGTCGACATTTCATTGTTGTGACAGACCACCATGCTCTGTGCTGATTGTTAACAATCGAAAACTTCTCGGGGCACCTTGGTCGCTGGATTGTTCGATTAACAAGCACACGACTTTGACGTAATCTACAAGACCGGAAGACAGCACCAAAATGCCGACGCTTTGTCGTGATGCCCTTTGCCACCATTTTCAGCGCATATCACATCCCCTTGTAAAATTGGCTATGTGAAGGACGCCTCTTCAATCTCATTTTTTCCCTCCATTCGTTTCCACATCATTCACTACTCTTCACTCACCAGTGAGCCGATTCTTATTGCACAGACATCATCGGTCGGCTTACCGGTGCTTCGTCTTCCCCAAATGCCAGGCTCCGGAAACAACTCCAACTATTGAAGTTGGAGGACAACGTGCTCTATCAGTACATTTTCCACCTGGAAGGCCATCGATGAGTTCCCGTCATACCACGGGCCTTCGCATTGAAGTTCTGCACGCTTCACACGACGACCCCATGTCAGGCCACTTTGGTTACTTCAAAACCTACGAGCCCATCTGCAGTCGATTCTTCTGGCCAGGTCTTTTCACGACGGTAGCTAAGTATATCGCCTCGTTGGCACTTTGCCAACACCACAAGCGGCCCACTACTGCTCCAGTCGGGACCCTACAACCACTTTCTTGCCCAGCAGAGCCGTTCTCTGTCGTCGGAATTGACCTCTTCGGGCCCCTCCCAACTACTTCAGATGGTAAGTGATAGA